TAAGTAAACAAAACACTAATAAACATAAGCAAATAGTTCTTTTACAGTTTTCATAGTGTTCAGTTTCATTTCATTTCATTTCAGACATATTCACCTGATTTACACACATATACTCACACATGTTGATGTAATGTCTCTATTTCTTTTCTAGGACATCCTATAGCTCATACGGACTCATGTGTGCGATATAACTCGTGCTCTGATACCACTTTGTCATGACCCGAACCCACCCCTATAGGTTTGGCATCGTAACTGCCCAGTAATCCTGAGATTACTGAAGGCTTCTAAAACATAATAATAAAATAAGGGACTAGCGGAAGCAAATATCAAAATACATCGTTCATAAAGATGTGCAGACATATATAGGATAGAAAATTTAGAACTTTATATACATATATGTGACGTCATAATTACATCAGTCTTACATCATTTCTATATACAGATAAAGCCAAAACCGTCCAACAAACACAAGAAGACAAAAGACGTCATTATAAAACTTGACCACATTGACTTTTAGGAACCTCCATATAAGGCATAGTGGTTGGCTTAACAAAACAAACCTAGACTTGAAGTTCTAAGCTTAGTTGGGCATCTGATCACCTACATATATAATATAAATAATGAGTTAGAGACTAGTAAATAACAACAGAGTAAATGTTTTATGAATGATGTTCAAAACAGATTTAGAAAATAGATTTCAGATCAGAAACAGATTCATATACTTCTTCAGATTTTCATAAGCAGTTATAAGTAGTACATCCATTAGCTAGCAGATCAGATTGGTCATAAAGACCCACGGGCAGAGTAGTTGGTCACATAGACCCATATTTACATAAGGTGGTCATGAAGACCAATATTCACTTGAGATGGTCATAAAAACCACGTACAGAGTAAATAAACGGTTATGCATAACCAGTTTCATGAATGGAACCCACGTGAAACCTAAGTACCAGGTAACAGATAACAGATATCACATGAATCACATGATGCTAAGAATGCCACAAATACATTTCAGAAAACTAGACAATCATTCATGATTCACAAATTAACATTTTAGAAAATAGATATATATATATATCATATCATTCAAAAAATACTTACAAGCAAACATAGCTTTACAAAGTTGTTACTCACAGATAGCTCCAGAAGCAGATTAAATAGAGTAGACCAACCAGATAGATCAGGCAAATGAGAACACATGACCTACACAGATAAATGACAGATACACATTTAAACACACGATCGGTAAGCACTTAACTTATTGCATTTCTTTCTAGGTGTGTTTCTAATTCTTATCCTTATTATTGTAGCCTAAATCATGGCTTAAGGATGTTTTAGATGCAATGAGAATGAAAAAAAATGCACTTGGAAAACACTTTGTAAAATTTCAGAAACATGTCAGTTCGCTCGAGCTATGCTTTGGTAGCTCGAGTAGACCCCTTAGTCTGCAAAACTTCTGGATGCTCTCATTTTAGGCTCGAGCTAACTTTTGATCGCTCAAGCCATGTGCCTTGAAAAGGCGAGTTTGTTCGAGTGATGATTGGATTACTCGAGCCAACTACTCATGTCTACAAAACTTCTGAGAGCTTGCAATGTGCACTCGAGCGAAGAGTTTACTGCTCGAGCGAACAGTGCGAATTTTGGAATTTCAAGATTGCTTTTCAAGCTTCAAAACACAACTTTTACACATCAAAGCTCATTCTTTTGGGCCCAAATGTAAAGAAAATTTGTAGAAACTCGTAATGCATCATGAATTGGAAATCATCTCGCAAAATCAAGGCCCAAAAGCATGTCAATTCATCAAAATTAAGCTTGAAACTTATATGTACACAGCATGCATGCATGAACTTGAAGTCTTTGGTTCCAAAACATGATCAAATGTAGCGAGAAGAGAAGAATCATGTTGAATTTTCAAAATCATGCAAGTATATGCCCATGCATGTGAGAATTCTTGGAAATCAAACTCAAAATGTGATGAAATGGACATGCATACATAATTAAATTCTAATTCACCTATTTAAGCTTAATTCTTGTATTAATCTTTAATTTCTCTTGAATTTACATGTAAATCAGCCTAATGTCATAAAATGAGGAGTGAATCCTTACCTAGAAGCCTCAATTCTATTGAATTCTAGCAATTCTTATACAATTCCACCAATTTCCTCACAATAGTTAGCAATTCTTCCTTCTCTAGTTTGATCTCACATTCTCTCTCTCTCTCTCTCTCTCTCTCTCTCTCTCTCGTGTTTGAACTCAAGGAAGGTGATGAAATACGTGTGTAAAGTGAGTTCCAGAAGTCACTTGAGCCTTATATAGGTTTGGTTTAATCAAGCTTAATTAATCTTGTTTAGCTTAATTTAATTTATTCTAATTATTTGATTATGAATCAAATTTCAATTAAACCTACCATAGATTTCTAAAAATTCTAAATTACACTTTGACTTAGTCAATTTCATGTTCAAATGCCGATAAGGCCTTCAATTCACTTGCCAAAATAGAATTTCAAATGGATATTCCTACAACCGACAGATATAAATACAAATAACACATGAAATGTAGAATTAATGCATAATCTCATTCTTAAAACTTAATTAGCATTCTTAATTAAGGATTATTTGCTAATCATGGATCAAGGTTGTCACAGGGATCCACACATTCGTTTGGATAGGTCCAAGCAGCAACGTAATCATTGTCGTGTGGAGAACAAGAATGTGTATTTAGTTGGCGAAAATCAATTTTTGCGTGAATGGAAATTAATGCCGAAGTTTTCCTCATGGAATATGTTACATGTTTGAATAAGGTGCATTTGTCTTGTCCCGCATTGGAAACATAAAAGAAGGTTGAAGTGTTTATAAGTCTCTAGTTGGATTTTTCGATTTCGGCCCTAAGGGCACCGCAAGTTCTGTAAGGAGGGGAGTTCTGGACTATGTTGAGTTGGACACAAAAATAACATGCACGCGCTGATGGCCCAAGCCAGGCACAGGTGTGAGGTTGGGTCGGCCCATTGCTTATCTTTTTGGGCAAAAAACTTTCGAATTTGAATTTAAATTTTTTGCACAAAAATTCAAACTTCAGATTCAAGTCTTACATTAAAATTCAAAATTTTGAATTCCTAAGGTTGTCTTCTCAAAACCAACCATCTTAGTATCATCCTTAGTGTGCAAATCTTCAAAATTAATTGATGTCAATATTCTTGAACCCTAAATCTTCAAAGGCAATAATGTTTTGAGTTTGAAAAATAAATATAATAGAGAAGAGAATGAAGTGAGCTAAATGATAATAAATGATATCATGAGTGTATGTTAATGATGAAGAAATACAATATTTATATATTAAAATCCTAAACTATATAGGGATGATGGTGTGTGAAGAGTATTTTATATTTTTAAATATGAATTTTTTGAATGGATAAAATATACCTCATGTTGTCCTTAATGGTCATTTCATTGAAGGATATTATTGAAATATAAATTTAATCTATTAATGGTGTGTACTGAGAGTATTAGTGGTGTGTAAATAGAATCACCCATTAAAATTCTACATTAAGTTATGTTTGTATAAACAACACTCTTAAAGATTATTACTCCATCCGTTCCAAAATATTAGTCCTGTATTTTATTTTTTTATTGTCCCAAAATATTAGTTCTTTTTGTTTTTCAAAAATTAAGGACTAAAATAACATGAATTTTTTATTTTGCCATTCTTTTAAATTCATTAATTATGATAATTGATATTTTTCAATTTTTATTTTTATTTTTAAATCAAAGGGTAATTTTAAAAAGTTAATATTTTTTAAATATAATAATTGTATTAAAAAAATTAAATTCCTTAAAATAGATTAATATTTTTAACATTGTGTTGTATGATACGGTGGGCTCACATTTGTATATTTTAACAAATTGTTGTATGATATGGTGGGCTCACATTTGTTGTGAAAGTGAAAAATTGGATGTGTTGTGTTTAACTACGTAGATTGCCATAACTTACGGAATAGTCTCTCAGTCGTCCCTTTTGCTTGCAGAGACTTTGCTATTATTATATAGTAAGTAAATCATTAAAACATTTTTTGAGATAGATTTGGCCTCACTATCCTGAATTTCTCTGGTATTTTCAGAGATATAGAAAGTCTAATGGATGATATATTCAATAAGGTAAACTTCATAAAATAGAAAAATGGTTTTGGATTATAATTTATGCAAAATTTGTTGAGCCTGTACATTCTATAAGGTGTCGATGACAATAAAATTTTGAAATTTTTCTTAGAATTGAAAAAGTCTAACATACAATGTCATAATCACATATCTCACTACAAGAAATAAGGGTTTTTGCGACGTTTTTTTAACGTCGTTTTCGTAAACGTCATCTTTATTAATATTTAGTGACATTTTAAAAACGTCGCATATTTATTTAATTAAAACGACACCGTTTTATGATCGAAGGCGTTTAAAAGCGCCTCCAAATGTTGTACACCGCACGCGCCTATTTTGAATTTGAGAATAAAGCTTTGTAACCCTTCAGGTCTTTAGACATAAATGTTGAATCCTCTGAACCCTTATCCTCACGTCGCGCCTCTCTCTCAATCCTCTCTAAACCCTTATCCTCACGTCGCCTCTCTCTCAATCCTCTCTAAACATCGAATCTCACATTCAAATCTCACAGATTCACCGATTTCGAAGCTCTACCTCCACCACCATCTGCATCAGCAAGGTAGCGAGATTCATCGATTCACCGATTTCAGATCAATCTGCACCGCCACCGCGATTTCGATTCTCCCTCTAGATCTCTCTTTCAGAGATTCATCTTTGATTTCATCTCAGAGCGATTTTGATTTCTCTCTCTCTCTCGATTTCAAAGCTCCACCGCCACCACCATCTATCCAAGCTTCCATGGCTTAGCACCTCATCTTCTTATCTCTTCCACTTTGTATATACATACACATATATGTATATTTATCGATTCTCTCATGTACATACATGTATCTGTATAGACACTGATCGATAATGGAGCAGAGCTTCTTCGATTTGATCTATTTTCTACACTGCCCAGGCCTTGCTGAGACATTCCTCGACGTTTTACTCTCCTCAGTCCCGATTTGGCTCGCTGTCATGATCGACCTTGTTATCGGCTGCTCCTGGCGCCCTAGGTGGACCGGTCTGCTCTATCTCAGTCTCCGCTCCAAGATCCGGTTCGCCTGGATCGCGCCGCCGAGGTTTGGGGCTCGGAGGTTCTGGCTCGCCTTCACGGCATTTTCGGTTGGTTGGAGACTTTGGTCCAAGTTCATTTGGAAGGGAAAGGATGGTTCTCCAGTGGCGGCGGCACAGCTGGTCGAAAGTGGCAGTGACGTTAGGTGAGAACGGTTTTGAAATTTGGTTTTTCATTTAGCGAATTGTTTATTAATGACTTTATTTATATATGCATATGTGTTTGTGTATCTGTTATGAGAATTAATTTAGGGTTTTTGATTAAGGCTTCTTGGTGATTGTATGCAATTTGATGCCTTGAATTGATAAGGGACTGTGCTCTAAAACCTTATTTGTTAATAATGCAACTAAATCTATGATAATTATGTGATTAGGGCTTTTATGTTTCTAAGCTTGGCATGAATTTATTTTTAAAGTATGCAGGGAACAGTATGGTCTATGGTGTGTGGCTACTATACGCGGTTATGTCGTTGAAATAGTTGGAATTTTTGGATAATGTGTGTCGGTTTGTGGCATCCGTAGTTAAGGTAACGATTTTGTCGTGGCGTTACTGGTTTCGTAGTATGCCCTTGGATTTTCTGTTTTATGTATAGAACAATGTAGTTGACGTATTGATTTATGATTGTGTTGCCGACATTCGTCATTGGTTACGTTGATAGTTGATATAGTGGTCCACTTAACATGTTGCAATGCTGGCGCTAGATGAGTCACAGAGTTTGCTAATTTTACTTCTATTGGTTAATATATTTTGGAAAAATTTTGTTTTTTCCAGTCGGGGTTTTGTGTCTTTTTGAGTTCTTGGCAGCCCTTCACGTGTTAGGTTTATGTGTACGGTTATTTTAGTAATCTAGTGGCGATATGCCACTGACAATGAGGTTACTCCATTTATAACGATATGGTATCTTTGAAAATCCAAACATGTGGAATGACACTTGGTATTATTTAAAAATAAAAAATTGAGGACTAATCCACTAGAAGGAAATTGCCAATTATCACATCTTGGTTGTGTTTGAAAATTTAAACTATATTGAACCACAAAGTGGAGGGTCACTTCGTTATGTTGTGGTTGCAAAGTTTCGAAAGTGTCTCCAAGTCAAGTTTTCTCACTAATTAGTATTGACAAAAACAAATGGTTGGGGCACCTAACTTAAGCTTTACGAAGTCTAGTTAGGGATATATAAAACATTGACTTTGTGGTTTAGGGAGATTGAGGTTGTCTATATTTGTAAGAAGCTACTGCATGCACGGTAGAAGACATTTACCTAAGCCTATCATTTTGGTAACTTTCTTAACTTAGATTAGGAAACAGGGGATTGCTGTGTCCTAAGAAAATTATATATATATTATTATTATTTGGATTACCACCAGTTATGTTTATAAACTTTTGAACCTTAACTTACTGGACATGTCACCATATTTTGACTTACTTTTTTTAGCAGGCTTAACACAGGAACCTCACAGGTAGCGAATGTTGTGGTAGAGAAAGATCTAGAACACCTATTGCAACTTATTGAAAACAAGGGTGGGAAAATGGAGTGGCAGAGTATGATGGGACACTCCACCTCAAACTTGACATACCAAGCTTGGCGCCATGATCTTGAGGTACAATTTGACCTTGACTTTGTAAGATGTGTATTTTCTGTGTGCTGGAGAAATCTATCAGAATTACTTACATGGATTTTGACCTTTGTTTGATGCAGGTATTGTCTTTCAAGTGCTGGAAAAGTAGGCCCAAGTCTCGGCATTTGCGTTGTAGTTTAATTGGAGTTTTTCATTAGTAACAGAGGACATAAATTCTAAAGAAGCAAAACTCTCATATTAAATATGAATTGAATTGGATACGGATATGGATATGGGATAATAATCACAATTCACACATGCATCCATTTTCTTTTTTCTATGGAAAACTGGATGGATTACACAGCTTGACTAATTAAACAATAATAGTGAAAGATTGGTAAAGAGAGAGAGAGAGAGAGAAAAGAGAGAGACTGAAATGAGAGATTGATATATACAATGTCTGCTATTGTATTTTTGTATATTTACAAGAGAATGAGCTCTCTCTCTTTATAGAGAGGAGAAGGGGACAATGGAGCACCGAAAGCATAAGACAATATTAAAAAAACAATATAAAAGTGAAAGTGTGTGGTAGTGGGTTTACAGTTACAAATGCACTATGATGTATATTGGGTTTACAGCTACAAATGCACTATGATGTATATTATATGTTAACAGCCCCCCGCAAACTCAAGGAAGGTAGGCATCGACCAAGTTGAGTTTGGAAACAAGATCACGGAAGCGCCCAGGAGGATGAGCCTTGGTGAAAATATCAGCAGGTTGATCAGCAGAAGCAATAGGGAGAAGATGAACAGTACCACAT